AAAGGGAGGTAGAGAGATGTGCCCATGCCTGTTGATGGAGCACCTTGGTTCAGCTTGGTTGCACCTGTGACTGCAGCCACTCTGGTATGGTGGTATCCAGGTGAGTGGGGCAGTGCCCGGCGTCACCCTGCCCCTCTGACCCTGAGACTCACTCCCAGAGAGGGGCTGGGAATTGTTGCTCCTCACTCTTTGTCAGGCGTAGGCATCCCATCCTGTGGCCTGTGGCTGTGCGGGCAGCCTGAGGGTCCCTGCCCCTTCCTCCCTCACCACTGTGCTCCTTGGCAAGGAGGCAAGGAAGCTTCTTGGTCTCGAGTTACACAAATGGGCTGGAGAGCAACTGGAAGGGGGTGGGAGCAACCCCACCTTTCCCCTGTGATGCTTTAAGCCCTACTCTGATGGGCTACTCCTTCAGAAGTCTACACTAAAAACTGTTCCCATGTTCCAATACGTCCACAACCTTCAGGGGACACACATCAAAGGCTTTTTCCTCCCTCCAGTGGAGAGGGAGACTGAAGAGGACCCCTGAGCCAGAGTCCCAGGCGCCACAAAAGGAGACCAAGCCCCTCTCACATAGCAGAAAGGGAAGGAATGGCCAGGACACTCTCTGTCTCTCTCTCTCTCCCACTCTCTCGCAGTCCTCTTTTGCCAAGTATGTGGGGGTTGGGGGTGGAGAGGGGAGGCGTGTCAGTGGCTGCCAGTCCTGAGGTTGTGCCTCCTGGTAAGCGCTGTGGCTACCTGACTATCCGTGGGGACCTCGGCTTCGAGCCTCGATTCCCAGACAACGGCAAAATGATGCCTGACATCCTGTCACATGCTGTTAACAAGAGATATACCTAAAACTTAAGGATACAAAATAATTCAAAATAAACAATTGGGGCAAGGGGAAGACATACCACCCAACACTAATCAAAAGAAAGCTGGAGCATTATTAATACTATTGGACAGAATAGGCTTTAATGTAAAAAGCATTACTAAGATAAAAAGGGTCACAATGAAAAAAAAAAAAGGTTCAGTGTTCCTAACAACATAGCCTCAAAATATGTAAAGCAAAAAATGACAATTTCAAGGAAAAAATTGAAAAATCATAATGAGAGATTTCTGCATACCTCTCTGTAATTGATAAAGCAAACAAAAATTAGTAATGATATATTTTGAAAAGCATATTCAACCAGTTTTATCCAATTAGAGATTTTAGGTTCTTTTCAAGTATACATGGAATATTTACAAAACTGGCTGCAAAGCAAATCACAACAAATTCCAAATAAACTATTTTATTCAGAC